TGGACATTTTGTGGTTTGCCTAGAAATATTTTACGATTTTAAAAGGTTTTAGTTTTTGGGATTTTTCATTTTAGATTTATTAAAGTTGATATTTTAAAAAGCATAAGTTTGTTTGTTTGTTTGTTTTTTTTGTTTTTTTTTCAAATTATGCATGCTTCGCAGGATGTCACACATTACTGTTACTTAACCTAACCCTTATTGATATACCATATACGAAAGTATCCTCTATGTAATGTAATTATAATTGCTTGTCAAATAAATGCTAAGACGAGTAGTTACTTTGGGATGGATAGATTCGAATTTATATTCATTCTATGTGTAGTTATATACATGGATATTACATTCATTCACATGAGATATATCCATAATGGAGATATTATACTCAATTTTTGTGTTGTTATATATACTATGGGGATATGAAGTTCATTTGATGTGTAGTTATAAGTATTGCATATATACTATATTATTTGTTGTGCGGTTATATCTATTGCATGTATATCACTTCTATGTGAAATTTATATTATATCTTCATTCCCTATTATTATTGATGTTATGGTGCTTGATGTTGTCGTATAACACATAGCTACTGTAACAAATTCCATATAGTAAAATTAAACTTTGGTACAAAGAATGGTTTTTCCTTCTATCCACTTTGAAGCAAGGGATATAGGTGGGTCACACATACACATCCACATACATTAATGAAATACTTACAATTGTTGAGATATCGGGTGATAATGAGTCTCGTGAATCGATATAGATTGGATGAGATTTTGCATGTTTAAAAGAATTGGATGAATGAGATGAAGCTAAATGTTTTATAGTTTGAATGTGTTTGAGTTGCTTGAAACAAAAAACAAACAATTTTTTAATTTTGAAATTTGTATACACTATGGGCATTAGGATTTAGTCCATGCAAATGTCTTTTTTTTTTTTTTGTCATTTGCAAAACATTGTTGTAAACATTTGTAAACGTTTCAAACCAGTCCATCCAGATGTTTAGTTAGACAACAAGATATATTTTAATGTTCCATAAATCAATTTTGGACAACAAAAATAAGAATCACTAAGAATTGAATTTCACACTTTTATTTTGTTTAAAAGCATTTCATGATTTTTCATATTTATAGTTCTAAGAATTCAAAATATTTTCAATAATTGAACTTCTATAACGATCCATTAGTCAATTAATGAATCTTCTACCTATATCTGAATTTATACTATACTATAAAAAAAAATTGTATTTCCTATTACCATGCATACATGCATTTGATATCCCAATGACCTTTCAACTTTCAACCTAATACAATAATTTGTTAATTTAAATATGTTATTAAATGAAAAATATTATATTAATTATAAAATTTATAATTATTAATATAATATACTTAAATTGTTAATTTAATTATGATATTTTTTTGGAACTGCAAAATTTAAATATGATGTTAAATCTAAAACATAAATAAAAATATCAAATAAATTTAAAATATATTCAAAGATTATTTTTGGAATAGCTAAAAAAGGTATAAATGTTATAAATATAAATATGAGTTTTCAAACCTTTTGTAATAACAATTTTATGTTAATTAATCTAAGATAAATGCAAAAAAAGAAGAAAAAAACTTAATATCTAAATTTTAGTCTTCAGTTACCTTCTAATAATAATATATTTTGTAAATTAGTTAACAATAATATTATTTAATGGTAACATAAAGTAAATTAAATTATATTAGTCTACAAATAATTGTTGATATTCTAAACAGATATCATGATCAAAAATTAAAAATATCAAATAAGTTATTTTTGAATTAATTGGTCATAAGAATAGTTAAACTAACACTAAATCAATATTTATGTTTGATTTTATTAAAATGCAAGCCACGGATAAAAACCGATAAATATTATCATAAACAATTTTAGTGTAACAATTATTATTTAATTATTATTTTATAGTTAATATGAGTAACATAAACATCTTTAACATGTATATGCATAATTTTTACTATATAATTTATACTTTAACCGTACAACATAATATAGCTATTTGGAATAGATTTAGAGATGCATAAACTAAACGTGCAAAAAATAAATAAAAAATTTACAAGGATTATATTAAAAGTATTTACCATCTAATATCCTGTTGACGTCAAAGTTTCCACATCATGACTCGAATCCAATTATCAAAAATTTCGTTCTTGACATCTTTCTTCAAATAAAATTTGTTGATACTTGGAGGCGGCATGCTTCTATTGTTTCTTCTAATACTTGATTTGTTAAATAACTTTTTAGAAAATATAATAAAAATAGTAGAATATAAAATGGGTTTGATTTTGTTTGTTAATCATCAAAACTAAATTCAAAACAATTCAGATTAGTTATTTGAAAAATCTATTTTTATTGAAGTAAAATAATTTATGTCAGCAACCTGAACAGCATTGAATTTTTTAAAATTGTTTTGGTGAAAATGTACATAAGTGATAGCACACAACAAAAACATAGTTTTAACAATGACCTTGAGAAATGAATAGATCTATAGCCCTAGGGATTTTAACCTAACCATGGTTAACTCCCTCCACCCCCCTCTAACTTCGTGCCACGGGTTTTATACACGCGCAGTTCGGATTTAGGAACGAAAACCACAACCCAAACACCTCTCTCTTCTTCTCTCTCTCTAAAACCCAACAATTTCTTACAAAGTGAGGATTGTGTTTATCAGTTTTATTCTCTGAAACAAGGTATGTGTTTTGATTACTCTATTCTATTCTTTTTATATGCTTACTATATGAATCTTTATGTTCAAAATCTTACGTTGTTTGTGCGTGTGTTTCTTTGTTATTGATGAAGGATTTCCGATTTAGAGCATGGAGATCTGAAATTGGGAGGCAATTCCAATTGAAGTGTGTGGAAAATCGATTGATTTCACTATAGATAGTTCTGATGATTGTTGGATATTTTTGTTGCTATACGGAAAGTCTTTTCGTCTGAAATTCGTAAATTTGGTCCTTTTTTTTTGTTTGTTTTCGGGTATTTAGGGGAAGCTTTTGCATGAAACATAAGGCGAATATGGGTGGTGGAAATTTCAATGATGAAGAGAAAGCGATTGTTGCGGCTGTGTTAGGAACTAGAGCATTTGATTACCTGATTGCGAGTTCCGCCGGGAATGAATGCTCATTAACTTCATCAGCAAACGATGATAATTTACAAAACAAGCTCTCAGATCTCGTAGATAACCCTAATTCCGGTAATTTCAGTTGGAATTACGCTATTTTTTGGCAAATCTCCCGTTCAAAGTCCGGCGATTTGGTTCTAGTTTGGGGGGATGGGTCTTGTAGGGAGCCTAGAGAAGGAGAAGAGTTTGAAATCGCTCGAATTTTAAGCATCCGATTAGAAGACGAAAACCAACAGAGAATTAAGAAAAGAGTCCTTCAAAATCTGCATGTTTTGTTCGGCGGATTAGATGAAGATAATTACGCTTTTGGATTAGACAGAGTTACAGATACCGAGATGTTCTTCCTCATCTCCATGTATTTCTCCTTCCCACAAGGACAAGGAGGCCCCGGCAAATGTTTTTCTTCCGGCAACCACTTATGGTACTCCGATGCTTTAAGATCCACCTCCGATTACTGTTTCCGATCAAATCTCTCAAAATCTGCAGGCATTCAGACTGTCGTCTTAATTCCAACAGACGTTGGGGTGCTTGAAGTTGGATCGATTCGTTCCATACCTGAAAACATTGAGCTCTTGCACTCCGTCAGATCATCCTTCTCCTCAAATTCAAACACTTCTCTAGTGTCTCCGTTGTTATCAAAGCTTTTCAACCAGGACATGGGATTAAGCTTGGGGCAGCCTCAATTTAGAGAAAAACTCACAGTCAGGAAACCTGAAAACCATCAACCATTCCCAAAAATCGAGAATCCACAAATCCTGATTTCAAATTCAAGAAACAGAATAACAGGTTCGAATTGGGCACAATTCAGCACCCTTCCAAACCCAGCAACAGAAATGCAAATCGACTTCACAGCCACAGCCACAGGTGCAGCGTCTCGACCTGTGAGTGGTGATTCCGAGATTTCAGATGTTGAAGCTTCGGGCAGGGAAGAAATGGCTATCACTGCCCGAACAGATGATAAACGGCCTAGAAAACGTGGCCGGAAACCGGCAAATGGAAGAGAAGAACCGTTGAATCATGTAGAAGCGGAAAGACAGAGGAGAGAGAAACTGAACCAGAGATTTTATGCTTTACGAGCTGTTGTCCCTAATATTTCAAAAATGGATAAAGCTTCGTTATTAGGAGATGCAATTGCTTACATAACCGATCTTCAAAAGAAGCTAAGAGAGATGGAATCTGAAAGAAGCAGCACATCATCCATGGATACACCTAACAACAGTGGCTTAAATCCACAGAAAATTGAAATTGAAGCAGGTGAAGATGAAGTAACAGTAAGAGTGACGTGTCCTTTAGATACGCATCCGATGTCTAAAGTGATTCAAGGATTCAAAGAAGCTGGGATTAGGGTTCTTGAATCGAAGATGGGTGCAGGGAATGATAAAGTGTTTCATGTGTTTGTGGTAAAGTCTGAGGGATCTGAAGAACTGACAAAGGAGAAGTTGATGGCTGTGTTTTCGAAGGAATCAAGTTCTTCTTTACATTAGTAATTGGGATAGAAATGTTAAAGGTATAAAAATAGAAAGTTTTGTATGAGATTAGTGGGTTATTTGATTTTTACTTGTTTAAGTTTGATATGTAGTGCAGGGAAACAATTTAGGCTGATTATGTTCCTTATACATTTTTCGTTTTAATGATATACAAATATTTGAAACTTTATAAATATGTTGAATGTTATGCGACTTAAGATAAGTATAATGTGTTAGTTTGAAAATGAAGTGATGTTAGGGACAAATGAGGTTGGGTGAAAGCTCATGTCATGGTCACTCACGAATCTTGTTCAAATGGTCGGGATTTTACCTACAATCATTTTATGTTTTGTAAGACCGTAATCATAAGATCGGATCGGACTCAAAAAATCCTATCAAAATGAACTTATACACAAATCTGCTTGTAAGTGTGATGTATACATTATAAATTGATGTTGACCAAGACGTTGACAATGAAATTAATTTTAACTTATTACACGTGAATTATAATTTTTGTTGTTGCAAACTATAAATATTAAGAAGAAAACATTTAATTAAGAAAAAAAGATCATTCTTTTCATATACAACCAAAAGAATAAGATCACAAAGGAATTATTATAAGTGTGTCTTGTCCAATTCGAGATGAACTGATGAAATTATGATGTTCTACGGGACTTCTTACAAATTAACATGCTTGATTTCAGGTTGAAATTATGAATTTTTGAGACTTAACTTTATAAAAAAACTAAAAAAGTATGATCGGGATCATTTTTCACTTCAAAGATCTTAAAATCGTAAGATCTTAAGATCAAAATGAGAATATTAACAACCAGGCGTCTATTTAGGCTCTCTTTGTTACACATGTTAGCCATTAACAAAAAAACGGGTCTTGGACCGGTCCCAAAAATGGGACCAGGACTGGACCGTTGCAATAGTTCGAGATCGATTCGAGATCAATCTAAAAAAAAGACTAGCCACAGTTCATATGCATACTATTTTTGTGTTATTTCACATTTGTTAATCGCACATTACCAAACTATATTTTAATTAAATTTTAATGTATCATTTTTAGTAAATTTTAGTATCATTTTAGTGTTAATCATACATATGGGAAAACCTAAAACGGTTGGAACCAAAAACTGAAAGTATTGAAACCGAACCGAAAACCTCCAAAACTGAATAGAAAAAGACGTACACAAAGATCGGACCTAAAGGGATCAAGACCAGGCCCAAAAAGATCAGACTGAAAAAAACCGGTCTAAAAATAGTTTGTTCATGCAAAATGCAGATGTGAAGTATATTTATATTTTTGCAAAGATGTTAGATGAGAATGCAAATGATATTTACGTTTTTACACATACAAGAAATTGTAGAAAAATCTTTTATTCATCGAAAATTCTTTATTAGAGTATCTCCAATCCACTCTTATTTTCCATTATTTTTTCCATTCCTCTCTAACCTATCTCATTTATTCTCCCATTTTGGGAGAAATGAATAGTATAACACCAAATATGATTTTATATTATTCATATCTTTCAAAATGGGGATGAACTTTGAGTTGTCGGTTTTAGTCCCTATTTTTGTATATTTATATATTTTTAGTTTATTTTTATCTATTAACTATAATTTAAATGTAATATTTAATACTTATAATATTTTGTTATATATTAAATTATATTAATTAATTATAAATATAAAAGTTTGTTTTTTGTTTATCAAATACGTATAAAAATTTACATACATATTGAAATTTTAATACATGATAACGTATTTTACAAAAACTTATAATTAAGTGTTATAAATATAATTTTATTTATTTAATATTATTGTAATGAAAAAAATATAGATTATATATTTGTTAAAACCAAATTAGTAGAAGAGATGTGTTTGACAATCTATACAAGTTGAAAGAATGTAATATATTAGGAATATATTTTTTTGGGATATAAATGTTGTAAAAAATAGAATAGAATTGAAGATGAAACACTAAAAAATAAAAATGGGTTGGAGATGACCTTACTGTTATTTTATTAACATCAAAGCCGGTTATATCAAATGTTCGTTAAAATCATTATAATTTACTCTATCTTTCCCAACAATCAAGGTGATTGATTGGAATATAGTTAGTGTATTTCCCACATGTTGATTTCTTGACGTGAACCATGTAGTTTTTGTTTGTGTGTGTTTGTGTGCTCTAAATAAAGTAAAATGGGAATAAGATTTTGTTGAGAAAAATGACATTGAACGAGTAAGTTTAATTGTTTTAATTTAGGGATAATGAATTAAAAGGGTAATATATTTTTTTGATCTATACACATTTGGTTATTGAGTTTTTTTTTTCGTCCACATTTAACCCTTGAACTTGTTAAACTTTATATATTCGGTCCTTATAATCGGTTACTCCAGGTTAGCCGGGAAAAACGACTTTATAGGGTAATATATTTCTTATTTTGTACACATTTAGTCCTTAATATTTTTGTACACGTTTAGTCCTTAATATTTTTTGTTTCAAAATAAGTCATTTTTGTTTTTGTACTCATTCGACACTTATGAATGATTTCTTTAGGTTTTTTCTCACGACATCTTACGTGGGACAATCATTGATGGGGTTTTTGGGTCTATTGATGCTTATTTCCATCGTGATCTCGACTGCTTGGTTATGTAGGTCTTTGTCACACCCTCAAAACCAAATGAACGGCGGAAACGTTCTGGGGTAGAGGACGTCATGTACAGTATCACA